GTGACTCCTGTGAGTTATCCCACTCCTATGGGCCTCTCCTCCCTCACTTGTAAAACAGTGCCTGCCCTGTAGAGGTGTACAGGGGGGTCATACACGAGTCAGCGTACAAAGCGCGCCTAGCACACACCACACCCTGAGCGGGTGACCTCATGGAATCATGGCTCAGATTAGCCTCCTCGGCCAGTCTGTGGGCTGCACCCAAGCTCCTCTTCTTCCTTTCTGCCCTCATCTCTGCTGCCAGCTGTGCTACCCACTGCAGCCAACAGGCTCTGTGGGAGACAGAAAAAAATTCTATTTTTTAAAATTAGCATTCTGCATTTCCTTTGGGGCTTGAGCAGCTCACTGACTCAGAAGGAACATGTTTCCCCTCAAAACTGTCAGAGACCAAGCATGATTCCTGGAACCTCCTCTTTCCTTGAAAAATCTCTGGGGTTTCATTCATACCACCTCCTCTCGCCCCAAGAGCAGAAGCAGAGTAGTGAGAGAAAGAAGGAAAATGTGCATTTCCTGCCTCAGGCCAGCTGCAGATAATTCATCTCTGGTTCGCAGAAACCTCATCTCTGAGCATTTATTTCTGCAGAGAAAAAGTCCTCTGAGTGAGGCGTGGGCATGGAGTGAATGGAGGCAGACAGTTCTACCCTTAGCTGTTCTTTCCACCGGATTCCCACCTTAGGTACCATACTCTCGGAAATCTAACAAGGTGCCCATCCTCCATACAGCCTGATTCCACCAGCACCCTGCTTAAAAGATCTCCCCACTTAACACACCTACTCAGTTCCCTCTGTCACCCCCAAAAGTGAGAGCCATCTACCTCAATGGTGGCCCCAAAGCACAGACCAGGTATGGATGTTCTAATGGCAGAGCACAGCACACAGACTCACTCTGTGAATGCGTAACAGAAACAATGATTCCTCCTTCCCCATACATCCAATCAAAAAGTGAAAGCCCACTTAAGAATGGACTTGAGTATGTTTTCACGAGAGCCAGGAGACATAAATCATCTGCGGTCCTGCATGCTTCGTATTAGCTCATATTTATACACAGTCCCGTTTCCCAGGTTCAACCTAACTCCACAGTCAGAAGTAGGGCCAGGGCAGACTGCTTGGGTGACCCAGGGAAGATGATTCAGGCTTTGACACCGGACTTAGATAATCCATCAAAAAGTTTATTACCAGTTGGGTTGGGTAAAATGGAGAACTGAAAGAGTCATTTCCTCTTCTTCTTGTCTCCACAGAAAGAGAAACAACAGGCTCCCCTGGTAAAAACTCAGCGTTGCCCAGACTTTAATACCATGTACACACTCTGAGGAGTACATCCGACCCTCCAGTTCAGCGTGAGCTTGGGGAAATCTCTACACAGTACTATTCACAGGACACGTCACTGCATTGCTCTGTGCTGCCACTGAATTACGGATCGTTTTATTATTCCTAAATAGTCTCAGTAATGAGAATAATAATGGCTAAGATTTATTGAAAATGTTGCACTGGATCCTATACTACAGACACATTTTTTTTTTTTCCTGTACCAGGAATTGAACTCACAACCTTGCACTTGCCAGGCAGGCGCTGTGCCACTGAGCTAAATCCCCAGCCCCTACAGACACATTAGCATTATCTCAATCCTCCCAACCACTATGAGGTTGGTGGCATTATTTTCATTCTCATTTTATAAAATGGAACAGAGATTTAGGAAATGGAAGCAATTTGCGCCAGATCACGTGGTTCAACTGATCTTGAGGCCCGGACTCTGAATCCAGAAGCTGTTCCCTTAATATTCTACTGAACCTAACACAGATCTTTGATAAAAAGTAGAACTCTCACAACTGACTGATAAGTAAGCTTGCAACAACATATCCTTCTCTCCTGCTACCTCTTCTCTTTTTTTTTTTTTTTTTTTTTTTGGTACCGGGAATCGAATTCACAACCTCGCACTTGCCAGGCAGGAACTGTGCCACTGAGCTAAATCCTCAGCCCTTTTCTACCTCTTCTTGCTTATATTCCTACAACCTTGTGCCCTCCACCCTCCTGCCTCAGCCCTGTCAAGTACATGGATAGACCCATTCTGCAAGCAAGTCTTCCATAAGGGAAAAGAAAAGAAATGTGTGTTAAATGTGGCTGAGAGCAGCATGTCCATTTCAGCATCTCAGATCCTGACAGCAGGACAGCTGTGTTTATGTCCACAGAGGCGCCTGCAGATGTGGGAGCACATGTGGCCCAGCTTGTCTTACGCAACATGAGACATCCGGGTCACCTATGTGCCAGGGACGTGCTTTGTGTCCCCAGCTGTGCTCTGGGTCTCTGCACTGAGGCAAAAGCCTGCCTCCTCTCCAGCCACTCTGCCAGAGAAGGCTGCAGGATGGAACCACACAAATCATGGTGGCATGAGCTCTGGGTCCTGAAAGCCTCAGTGTGCATCTGAGCAGAGGGCTTCAAACCCTGACCATCAGAGGTTCCCATCACCCAAGGCAGACAGGGCATACAGTGGTGTCCCAGCACTGGAAAGGAGGGTAGCAGAGGGCTGCACCTTGAGGGTGAAGAGTGAGGAGGCCATGAGAGATGGGCTCACAGAGACCTTGGGAAAGGAACAAGAGCAGAAAGGTCAGGAGCTACAGCTTATCCATTCTCCCACTGTCAGACTCCTCCCGCCAACATTACAATAGGGGGCAAAGAGCAAGGAGGCTGCCATGAACCAGACTGTGCGCTCTCCATTCCTATGTTAAAGTCCCAGCCCCCAGGGTGATGGTATTTGGAGCTGGGACCTTTGAGAGCTAATCAGGGTGAGATAAGGTCAAAAGGCTGGGGCCCACAGAATGGATTAGTGTCCTTCTGAGAAGAGACACGAGAGAGCTCACTGTCTCCCCCTTGTGTGCACAAAGAGGAGGTCAGGTGAGCACACAGCAAGAAGGTGGCCACCGCAAGGCGGGAAGTAAGCCCTCACCAGGAACCAAACTGGCCAGCATCTGAGCTTGGAATTTCCAGCCTCTGGAACATTGTAAACAAAGTTCTGTTGTTTAAGTTACCCAGCCCATGGTAGTTATAGCAGTTGGAGCAGGATAACACAGGTGCCTAAGTCAGACAGGAGTTCAAATCCTGACTCTACCTTTATAGCTGTGTGGCCCTGGGAAAGTGAAAAGATCTTTTTCTCATTTGTCACCGGCTCATGCCAAAGGGCTTTGAAGGGACTGGATATGCTGGTGTTCCAGAGGTGCCTGAGCTGCCTAGGACAAACCACTGCCACCAGCAATGCTTCTCCATGCATGTTATGGTCAGTCTTGCTAACCAGCAGCTTGCTGGTCCCATTCCGGCCACACAAGAGTTTTCTTTGGCCTGTATCATCAGTGTTTGGGGAAGTTTGGATTATTTACCAACTTTGAGAAGTCAGGAAATTTCACATTAAAAAATATAAATTTCCAGTTCTTGAGAAATAAGATGGGACATCCCTGGGCCTGGGTGATTACAGCATCATCTACGCTAGAAGAAGAGCAAGAACCCATCTCACTGCAGCCAGACTGGCTTCACCTGCTTAGCACTGGAAGGTTGAGAAGCCAGCAGCCCCTGGGTGAGCGTGGGTGCTGAAATGTGGCTTGGTCTTGTCCCTCTTCAAGCTACCCACAAACAGAGCTTTTAAGTACAATTTCAGGATCCATCTCCCAAAGTGAGGAACAATTAGCACATTCCTGAGTCACCCTTTTATTTATTTATACTTCTATTGAGAGCTCAAGAAGCTCATAGAACAGGCAGGATCTCAGTTGTTTGGGAAAATTGAGCTCTTGCTCTTTGGGGGTTGGTGACCCAGCTCTGCCCTTGTCGTTCACCTTCTTGGGACCCCACTTTCCTGTCTTGTAAATATCAACCCCTGTGCTGGATGGTCTATCTCTTTTGTCTCCTTCCATATTTATGTAATTATGACGTGAAACTCAAGCACATGGGTAGAAATTTAACACAATTCTGTTTACTTATAAGCTCCAAAGGCTTCAATAAAAGCAGCGCTCTTGAAACACCCCCATTGACCTTAACACAGGCCTTAACTCAGTGTAAACAGGACTTGAATAATAGCCTTGTTTATTGTTCTGCCCACTTTGGGCTTGGGTCTTTAGCCTTCATGTTCTCCACTTCACTTTCCCGAGCCCAGTGAATACCAGGCCCTAAAAAGCCAGCCAGTTCAACTTCCTACCTCTAGCAGACCCTGGTGCTGTCCCTGCCTGACTGCCCTCATCTCACCAAGATGCAAACTCAACCCCAACAACAACCCAGTGCTCTACCACACCGGCCCTCTTTCATTTCCTTATTCACTGCAACCACAGGACCTTTGCAGCTGCAGGCTCCACTGCCTGCAGCCCTCTTAACCTAGTGAATTCCCACTACACGTACCTCCTGCATTGTTCTGGCTTCCTTGGGAAGACCAAGTCACACTAACACACTTTTATCACGTCAGCTGTGCTGTAGCAGCTGTCACAGTTGCTTGTCTACATTTTAACTGTGATTATTTGGCTAATGATTACCTCCCCAACTGAATGTAAACTCCGGGAGAGCTGGGCCCATGTCTGTCTTTGTTCCGTGATCACACCAGCACCTGGACCTTGAGGTGGTGCTCAAATCTTTCTGGATAACCCCTTTATTAAAAGGAAAAACAGCGATGAATCTTAAGGTTCAGGTTCTAACCACTAAGTCGTATTGCCTAATATGGTGCCTAGCGGTTAATCACAGCACAATACACATTTACAGAATAAGTGATAGATACTATTTCTCAGCCTCTCTCTTCACCCCCCATCACACACACCATACATGAACAAATCTATGGATTCTCTGTGGATCAAAAGTCTAAACAGATAAAGGTCTCCGAACACAACAGCTATAAGATCAACATCATAGCCGACAGAAGCAATGAGAACCAAAGAGGAAAAAAGTCTCAAAAACTGAAGACAAGGCTCCAGGTGAGCTGGTCCCTCTGCACCAGCTTGGGTCCTCGTGGGCAGTGGGGCTGGTCTGGCCTGCACATACCTGATGTTTTCGTTCAGTGCATAGAGCTCGTTGCTTTGCAAGCCACCCCCTTTGAAAACGTTGATCACAGCAGTCTGGACACTGCAGGGAAACAGAAATAACCTCAGGTTAGACAGTCTGCCTGCTGGAACCATTTCCACAAACATCTGGGAGCTGAAGGCACAAAGAAGGGCCAGGAAGCCCACGGCGCAATCTTGGCTGCGCTTCCTTTCAGTGGAGTCCGTCATTTCCTCGGCAGGGGCCCTGGGCAGGAAGGAAGGCTCACACTGACAGCACTCAAAAGGAGCCCCCACGTTCTCTGGGGCCACTCAGGGCTTTTTCCCTCACCCTGCTGGCAGCCGCGAGGTGAGCAGCAGCAGTAAATGGCCAGCAGTGGGGTCAGCTCTCAGTAAACTGCAGGGCCCGCACACTGGCCTCACCGGCACCCGAAATGGCATTTACCGTGAGCAGGAGACAGCCATGGCTGGGGTGCATTCAGCGAGGCGGCCACTAGCTTCTCAGGGCAGCCTGGTGGCCTGGGGCCCACAGGAAAGGATAATTCCTTGCCTTGCTTTTTTAATGTTTTTGTACTTGAGCATTCAAGCTCCTATTTGTCAAAAATGTTACCTAGAGCATTTGCGTGGTGCCTGCTTTTTTTTTATTAGTAAGTCTCATTTTGGCAGATTCATCATGCACATAATGCATTTTCACCCCCTCACCCACCTTGTCCCACCTTCCCCCACCCCCAGCTTCACTTGGAGGAGGGATCCCATGGCTATATTTTGTTCATATTGGCCTTGTGCTTTTTTTAACATTAAGTTTATTGGTAGACTTTTGACATACATAATGATCACCCTTGTGATACTAATAAGACTTTCCTGGGGGAAACAGCCTCCCTGTCCCCTTTTTTTCCCATCCCCTTGGGGGTGCACAGGCATCTAGAGTTAGTCCCTCCTCCAGGGGCCGCAGGTGGGGCTTAACTCCCCATTCCCAGGGAGCCCACCCCAGTATGACAGCAAAAAGCTGATTATGCCAAGGATTCCAGCCTTTTTGAAAGAACAAGGATCCACTTTGCACCCAAACATTTCAGAACTTCCTCTGCCCCCATCAGCAGAGTTGTGCTTTTTCTATGCATTCATAAAAATACTCCCTAAGAAGCCAAACTACAAAGAATTCAGCAATGCTTCAAAAGTTAATGCATTTAATTTATCCAATGAGAATCTATGTGGATTTGAAAATTATTAGCGCCCAGAAGCACGAGACAGTACTGGTTCAGACTGCTTTGTGCTCCATGAGTGAGGTGGATAGACCACCCCCAATGTCTGCGTCCCCTCTCCCAAGTGCCTGTGACTCCAAGGCACCATTAACCTTTGCCTCATGCCACTCATTTAGCTTTCCACAGATGGGCAGAAGGTCACCTGAGGGCACTTACAGCAGTCTGAGGTACGACTAAGGAGCGGGAACAGTAACTGTAAATCCCAATCTGGCTGTGCGGAGTTCGTTAACTAACTGCACAGCCAGGGCTCGCCATGGTCTACATTCTCACTGTACTAAAACAAGGAAAGCTAATGGCTGCACAGGAGATCAGAAAATTTAAACTAGATATGCTGGTGTAACCCTGTAATCCCTGCATTGAGGAGCCTGAGGCAAAAGGATTGCAAATTAAGATCAGCCTGGGCTAGACTTTATCTGAAGAAGGAAGAGAGGGAGGGAGGGGGAGAAGGAGGGAGGGCAAAGAGAAAAAGGAAAAGAAAGGAAGAGGAAGGGAAGGGAAGGGAAGGGAGGGGAGGGGAGAGGAAGAGAGGAGAGGGGAGGGGAGGGGAAGGAAGGGAAGGGAAGAGAAGAGAGCAAGGGAGGGGAAGGGAACGGGAAGGAAGGGGAAGGAGGGGAAGGGGAGGGGAGGGGAAGGAGCTGGGGTAGGGCAGGGCGGGGAGGGGTAGGGCAGAGTAGGGCGGGGTGGGGCAGAGCAGAGCAGAGAAGAGAAGAGAGGAGACTTGCCCTCTTCATCCCTTGCCCTTGTCTCAGGACTGTCCAGAGCAGAGATCCCAGAAGCAGCAGCAGGTCACCAACCCCCAGATGTCCCTGGCCCTGCCCAGCCCCAGCAGCTCTCCAGCCCACCCCCAGCTCCTACCTGTTCCAGGCCGAGTTGGAGCTCAGCTGCAGAGCCTGCCGGGTGGCTTGGAACCGGGGCAGGTCGCTGAGCACCGGCGAGCTCATGAAGCGCGGTCTCGGCCTGCGGAAGGAGCCCATCTTGTGGACCTCAGTGAGCAGGATGGGAGCGAGGCCACGGGTCATAAGTCCGGGCAAGGCGTCGGCTTTGTCTTTATGGGACCAGAAGTTTCCAGCTGCCCACGGGGAAAAGCTTCCCTCAGGGCTGCCTCCCGGCCCTTGGGAGTTTTGAAATCCACACTCTCAGGCAACACCTGAAGAGAGAAGGCAGACTTCATTGAGAACTCCTAGGCTGGGCAGACGGCGTCTAGAGGGAAGCTGGCTGGGGCTGTCCATCCAAACCATCCCAAAACAGCAAGAGCCTCTGGAGTTCCCATATTCAGGGCAGTTTGGTCACCACAGAGTGGGGAGCAGTGATGACAGAACCAGGTGGTGTCCAGCCCCCCAGAATAGCAGCCCCTAATCTGTGCTTACCTCTGTGCTCCCCACACACATCCATCAATGTGGACACTGCTGGGACTTTCTGCAGACCCCATGGTGTTGTGGACCAAGAGACAACTCTGTAGACAATGCTAAGGAGAGCCCAGGAGCCACGGTCCTGGCACTGATACGTCCTGCCAATCCGCGGTCCATATGCCTTGCTTGATTGAGTACCAAGGCAGGAGATTAGGGCTTGGCCGACTACCTGGGGAAGTAGGTGTGACCTAATTACAGAGTCCCAGGACAGGGGCAGAACAGTTCCCAAAGCCCTTTGCGTGGACTTCTCAAGAGAACTCCAGTGGTTTTGGAGAGGACAGACTAGACCTGACAGTCCAAGGAGTGGGAGATACAGAAAGACAGGTGCCACCGAGCTCTCCGCTATTGCGTTCTCTCTTCCACAGGATTCTGCTCTCACCCTGTAGTGTATTTATTTTCCTTTTACTTGGCCCAAACTCACTCTGCAGAACACAATTCTCTTCCTACCTTTAATGAATGTAAAATGTCACTACCTTTGGTGCTTGTCTCTACCAATTCTTTGTTTAAGACAGGAAGAACTTAGAAGCCACCTCTAGAAGGAGACTCCAGCACCCCAAAACCCCATAACAGTACCAGTTCTTTTCTCAGATACATCTCCCTCCCTCTGCATCCGCCATCACTGACAGTACTGAGAACTGAACGCAACAGCCTTCACCTTGAACTACATTCCCAGTTCATTCATTCACTGAGACATTTCTCGCTAAGTCATTAAATTGCCCATAATGGCCTCAAATTTGAGATGCTCCTGCCTCAGCCTCCCAGTGTGCAGCAATTACAGGTGCGTGCCTCCACACTCACCTGTGAACTGAATGTTTATTCACCACTATAAAATGTGGACCAGCTGAAGATTTTTTAATACCTAGTCCCTGCCCTCCAGAGAGTCACAGTCTGCAAGAAAGGTAAATATTACTGTATTCATTCATGCAGTAAATATTTCCCAAGCACTTACATGTACCAGGCACTGGGAGACATAATGGTGGCCCTGGGACCCTGTGCCTGGCCCATGGACCTTACAAGCTGCAGGCACTGCTCGCATCATACTCATGTCAATCAATGCTTTCCCACGCTTTTGCTCTGATTCCTCCCCTTGTCCAGAATTCTCAGCCTTTTGCTCTCTGCTTATCTAAATCCATCTCACCCTACAGAGCTGGGGTCACAAATACAGCACTGTTCCCATGTAGCAGGTCACAAGACTTAATGGCTTCACAGATAAAGGTACTACTGGCTTTGGAGTGAATCCAGGTTCAAGTCTGAACTTGGCCACTCCAACCTGAGTGACTTTGGACACACTGAGTCTAAAGTCCCCAGGTGCGAACAGTGTCACAGGCCAGGGAGAGATAAACTTCCATCAGCTGACACGCCCAACCACCCACGGGCCTTGGGGCATGGCTGTGTCTCTTCAGACTGATCTCCTCCTCCTCCTCTCCTCAGCACCTCTAGCTCTTTAATTTCAGTCTCATTGTCTGGTGAATCCAAAGTCTACACAAACGAACAACTTAGAATGAGTCTGGACCTCACTGGCGTGAAGGACAGCAGGAAGCACCCCAAGTTTGACCCGTAGCCATTCTTTTCTTTAGGGTTTCATAGGCTTTTCCCAGAAATATTGTCTCTGCCAACCTTCTCCTTAGCTGTCTCCGCTATGTCCCAGAAAACAATGACAAAAGAAAAAGAAAGCTTCCAGCCACAAGCCACAAGTGTTAACCTTCAGGACAGTGGGGAAGAAAGGCTAACGGCTCCAGCTATTTGAAGGACAGTAGAGATGCCAATGCCAGATGAGATGCACCCCTGTGATTGGAAGAGGGGTAAGGTCAGTGCAGGCAGCGCCAAGACACCCACTGGGAGACACCCACAAAGGAGGTGTCCACATAGTGGCAATGCACTTGTAATACTGACAGCCTCCAAGGAGTGGCTTGTCCCATCGCTTAACTTTTTCCACAAAGGAAAGCAGATTCAGGTACCATTTTCTCAGACAGTCTCTGCCCCTGTGCCCCATGCTCAGGATGAATGAGCAGTTATTAAATTTATCAGTCAATGCCGGGAAAGCCATCCTCAACCTGTTAAGCTTCAGAGAGAGTCTGTCTCTGTCACCGTCACTTCCCAGGTGCCGTGGAATTGATAAAGAGCCACACAAGCTAGTGAAAGCGGTGAAGAAGAAATAAAAGCTTGATCTCCCTGCAGCTCCCTTGCTCTGGCTGGTACAGGGGTGTCACCTGCCAGTGAAGATCTCTCTAACTGAGCAGGGTCCATTCCACTGCCCTTCTTTAACTGGGCCTGTGAAGCGCAACACAACTGTGTCATTACAGGATATTAACTCCCTTTATGAGGATCTTAAACCTGGGGTAGTAGCACTGCCTCCGCCCCACGGCACTTGGATAGGGAAGGAAAGGGAACAGAACGGACTGTTTGCCTTCACTGTCCTGCCCAAAAAGGGCGTAAGACTCGGGGGACCTCACACGGCTCCTGAGAGAGCTTGCACTCTCCAGGCCTCGGGTTCTGGGCCGTCTCAGCGTCCCGCAGAGCACACAGCCTCTCTGTCCGCATCACAGCTCTCTCAAACAAGGCTCATGTGCTGTGAGACCAGAGGATGCAGACCGCAGCTGCCAGGCCCCGAACCGAGTCACACTCCCAGCAAGGAGCTTCCTCTGACTCATTTTCCATCCCCGAAACTCTGCCCCTCTCCGATCCTGCCAGGTTGTCCCCATGGTTCCAGCTTGGGGACAGAGCCAAGAGGCTGCCCCAGAGTACCATGGGAGGAAGCCACTGGGAGGCTGGCAAGAGGAGCCAGCAGGGAAAGGCCGGCACACCCTGCATCCACCTGCTACAGAGCCGGCCCCCTAGGCACGGGCTTGGCCTGACCTAAATGTGACAAATCAGAGATGCTGAGGCAGATGAGGTCTTCTCCAAGGAGTCCAGAGTGGGAGAAGGTCACGACTGGCTGGGACTCAGGTTCCCTGATGCCTGATCTAGAAAATCCCCAGCCCCACGAGGCCACCCTGTTCATCTCTGGGCTCAGTTGACAGAAAAGAGAATTACTAAGGCCTCGGCTGTCTACCTGATGGGATGCCAGGCACTGTCACCAGGGGAAGAACCTCCTCAACCACCGCAAATGTCATTCAGGGAGCAGAAAGGCTAAGGAACACGTTCAAGGTCACACAGCTAATAAGTGGCAAGTCATTAACAAACTGAAATCAGCCTAATTCTCCAACCTTTCCACCTTGAGCTACACTACCAAACTCAACCATAGAGAAAATCCCCACTTCTAAGTCAGTCAAGAGCATCAGTCCTGAGGTTTCATATCAAAATTGAAATCAAAGCCTCATGCCCCTGAGGTAAATAAACTGTCCTGAGAAACCTATGGCCCTGTTTGACGGGGACAGGAGGACAGCGAGAAAGCACTCTGCCTTGGTGAGACAACCGCCCCTTACTAGCCACGTGAACTTGGGCGGGTTATTTGACCTCTGAGGCTTGATTTTCTCCACCCAGGAGAGGAGCTGTGCTGACCTCAGGGTTGCAGGAGGGCTACATGAGTAAATATTTGGGGAGTGCTTGGAACAGTACCTGGCAAACAGCAAGCACTGCCTAAGTACTGGCTAAATAAATAAAATAACACTGCTGTTGCTTCTAACCGCCAAGCCATGACCACTGGGGAAACGGCAGCCCTTCCCTCTGCTGCTGGTGACCTCACGGCATCTGAAAAGCCCGGAGCAGGAGCGGGTGAGGCCTCCAGGCCCTGTGGGGGCGCACCCTCACATCCTGCCTTCTCTGGGCTCTGACAACTCGAGACTTCGTCACTGACCTCTTTCGTCTGTGTAGTGTGTTCCCGAGTTCTGCACGCTGTGTGCTTCTAAATTCAACCCCGACTCGCTCAGGCAGGCAAAGCTGGGCCCACTCATGAACAAAGAGACTCAGTCCCCAGAAGCTGAGTTGAGGTGTCTTCGCCAAAGCTGACAGTGGAGGTCAGGGGCCCAGACCTAGTGGGCCAGGCTGCAGCTGTAAGCCCAGCCACTAGCACCTTTTGTCTTTTTTTTTTTTTCTTGTACATTTCAAGATACTTTCATTATGACACATACTTGAAGAGCATATCGACATACATTTTAAATAATAGTCATAAACCACTACCGCCTCAAAGAATAGAATGCTACCTCGGAAACCCCATGTATTCCTACCTTTTGGATAACAGCCTACGTGCTTGTTTACTGTTTTTAAAAAATGCAAGCTGAATGTAGCAGCACACACTTGCAATGTCAGCTTGCTGGAAGGCTAAGGCAGCAGGATTACAACTTCGAGCCCAGCCTGGGCAATTGAGTGACTTAACAAAATCCTGTCTCACAATTTTTTTTGAAACATTTTTTTAAAGGCTAGGGACTGTGAAAGCCCTGTGTTCAATCCCCAGTACCAGAAAAAAGAAAATAGAGTTTACCTGTAAACTCAAAGTGCCTCACCTTTAACACAAAGTGCAAGGGTTTCTTCTGGCCCCTTACCAGTGCAGAGACATCAGATTGAGAACTTTCTGAGAGGACAAGAATGTTCTACATCTCTACCATCCAGGGCCACAGCGAGTAGCTACATATGGCTACCAAACAACTGGAATGTAGCTGGTACAAGTGAAGAACTAAATTTTAGTTTTATTTGATTTTTAATAGCCACACGGGGGACCACACAATATTTCAGTAAGAATGGGTCTTTCCTGTTAATAACACATCACGGCTTTCTTCCCCGTCACTGTGTATGGGTCTAGTTCATTATTCTGAATGGCAGCTTAGGTGATATCCTATTTATTTAGCCAGCCCCCTGTGGGTTGATATTTAGTAAGCTTCCGGTTTTTTGTTACTGCAAAGGGAGTCTCAGGGACCATGTGACAGATTTCACAGGGCGTGTGCCCAGAAGGGGAACTGCTGTGTCAAAGGGCCCAGCAGCTCTGAGCTGCTCACTCTGTGACTTCAGCCTCGATCTGAGCTGCAGCCAGAAACAGCACTGCAAGAAGGGTATTCAGAGGCGCAACGGACAAGAGGCCCCAGGCTGTCACCCAAGGTTTTGGAGTCAGAGGAGATCTGACAGCAAGGCTCGCTCTACCATTTATTTACTGTGGTCGGCAGGGAAAAAAAAATGCCCTAAAAAAATACCTGCACATCTTAACCCCAGAACTGTGAATATTATGCTGAGTGGGAAAAGGTGAATGTTATATTAAGTGGTGAAGTGGCAGGTCATGAGGCCAGATGCTTATCCTGGATTGTCCAGTGGGCCCACAGAGGCAGTTGTTGCCCCTTCCCAAGTGGGATACAGAGGAGATCAGACATAGAGAGAAGGCGACATTCAGGAGAAGGTGATGTGACAACAGAGATGAGAGTGCTGTAGCCACAAGCCAAGCAATGCCAGCAGCCATCAGAAGCTGGAAGAGGAAAGAAATTCCCATAGAGCTTCCAAAAGGACCACAGCCCTGACACTCCTTGGTTCTAGCCTTTGGGTCTCTGGAACTGTGAGAGAATCAATTTCTGTAGTTTTAAACCACAAAGGTCATGGTAATTTGTGCAAGCAGCCACCACAAATGAATACACTCAGTGTATTCATGGCTATGAATCCCTCTGAACTGCAATTTTTGTATCTGAAAAGCCGACACTGGAGTTAACATGGAGCATTGCTGCAACAACTAGAAAGATTGGCTGTAAGGTGCTGGCATGGTCCCTGGAACTCTCCAGGTTGTTAGGCCAGGTACAATAGAGATCAGGGCAAAAGCACCAGAGCTGGTCTGGTGTCACTACTTCCTGGAACCCCAGACAGGTGACTCAGGATTGACATGAGGGTTGGATGAGATGATTCCAGAAAAGCACAAAGTAAGTGCTTGACAAACGCTACCCACTGTTCATCGGCATCACTGCCAACACCACCGCCATGGAATCCCTCTGTAGGGGCTGGAGTAACAAAATGCCACACACAGTCTGGGTGACTCACACCACAGAAATGGATTTCCTCACAGTTCTCAAGGCTGGAAAGCTAAGGTCAAGGTACCAACAGGGTTGGTTTCCCCTGTTGGCTCTCCCTTTGGTTTACAGATGGCCACCTTTTCCCTGTGTCACCCTCTGGGCACTCACAGCCTTGGCGTCCTTGCACATGGCCTCTTGGACACCAACCAGATAGGAGGAGTGTCCACCCTAATGACCTCATTTTACCTTAGTTGCCTCTTTAAAGGCCCCATCTCCAAACACAATCACATTCTATGGTACTAGAGTTAAGGCTTCAAACTACGAATTTTTTGGGGGGAGGGGACATAATTCAGCCTCTAACTATCACCACTACCACCATCATCATGATCATCAGAAAATGTTCTAGGCCTCCTACCTCCAAGTGAAAGAAAGGACAGTATTCGTCAGTACGCTGTTCTAGAGGACCAGTGCCACTCACACTGTCCTTTGAGAGTGATTTTGTGACTAGGTTTTTGAAGCCGAAGGGTTTGCTTCATTTCCTCCGCTTCACAGCGGAGGTCCTGGGTCCGTGAAGCATGCTGGGAAATCACAGGGTCACTGGGCTGCCTCCCTGCCTGGCCCCTGAGACTCACCTCACGTGGGTTTCTCTGAAAGCTCTGCACCCGGATCCAGGATGTTTTTCTCAGAGAAAAAGAATGTACTGTCTCCCTTTCTCTCACAGCTACAAGTGACAGGGCCTGGGGACCAGGGCATACCTCCGTCCGCCGGGTCCAGGCCAGAAGACAGTGCACTTAGTGGAAAATGCAAATGAATTCCACCAAGGCTCCGGCCTTTGACTCTAAAAAGGGAAGTAGAACGGTGGCACAACAAGTTAAAATAAAGAAGTGGGTGGCTTCTAATAACTCTGAGGCTTCCAGGAAAAGCCATTCTGAGCGTAAGTAATCAAGTCAAAGAAAACCAAGCCACACAGCCTGGTGTGACCTCCTGGAACAAGAGGATAAGCCAGTTCCCCAAGGAGCGAGAGAGCTGGTCCGCTTCACACGTACCCTGCTGATGCATCTGCAGCCAGAGCCCAGTGTGGAGCACCTTCTCAGGTCCTGAGTGAAGACCAGGGTCCTTCCACACCATCAGGACGTAGACGCCGAGCAGTCACTTAACTCGCCTGCCCCATCCTCTGTCTCACGGCAGCCAAAGTGAGTTTCTAGGGCCCAGGATGACTAGAAAGGCACTGCTTACTGAGCTCCTGTAGGACAGCAGACACTTGCCATGTATCACCTCAGGGTTTTCAAATGGACTCGGGCGTGGTGACCTGTAGTGAAACAGAATGGAAAATAGCAGTGTGTACCGCATTTGGGGGTGACATGTTATGCTATGTGTGGTCATGTTTACTGGGTGAAAAACCGTATTTCATTCTGCTTCCTGACACTGCCTAAGTCTGAGCCTCACAGACACCAGGAGCTGGGGGCTGTTACTCTTACTCACCCTAAGGGATTCATTTGTCTAAAGTCACACGGCTTTGTGAGATAGGGTGCTGGGATAAGAACCCAGCAATCCAAGGCCCACAACCTTCATGTCCCTCTGTCACTTTAATGGCTTCCAAGACTCCCTGTAGCTTTTAGAATAAACCTCCATGCTCCATCCTCACACCCTCGCCTCTCTTCCTCATTGGCCTTTACGCTTCCCACTATTACCTACTCTTCCTTGCCCCAGGACCTTTACACATGCTGTACTCTCTGCATGAAATAGTTTCCATCTCTTTCTCCAGGCCCAAACCCACATCTCCTTTATCACCCTTCACTCGTCCATAGAAACCCTCCTTGTCCCTTCATCCCTCGATGGTTCCCATCGCCCCAGTGAGTACCCACGCCACCTCCTTTGTAGCCACCACAGTCTACTTCAATAAGCAACTACAGAATGATTTTTGTAATTCTTGCAAGGCCCATAAGGACACACACCCCATCTCTCCCGTGTCAGAGGCACTCCTGGGGCTCACTGTAGCACCAAGGGTAGCAGGTGCACGACGGCTAGTCATTGAAGGTGGGAATGAACCAACTTCTGCAGTGATCTGCAGGAATCTACACAAGTGCCAGCTCAGAATAGCAATGCCAGAAGTCACATGCAGCTTCCCCACCCGTGAACATCATAGTATTGAAATCTGACCAACTCTGGTTCAAATCCCACCTCTACAGTTTACTAACTGGGCATCTGGGCAAGTTACTCCTGCGCTCTACATTTTCCTTTCCTCTCCCGCCAAATGAGTGTAAGAGTTATCTCAGTGCTGCTAAGGATAAAAATGGGATAAGTTAGATCATGGCAAGTCTCACAGTAGAAACTTAGAAAGTTACAGCCAGGATTAATATTTTCAATCAACACTACGTTCTTCATAAAGCCCTCCTGGCTCCAAAAGCTGGCATGTGACCAGGTGGAAGGGGCACGGGCACTTGTACACACTGCTGGAGGGAGAGTAGCCCGAGGCAAATGTCACGGAGGGAAACTGGACCACAGCAGCATCACCCAGATGACAAAGGTCGTGCCTTCTGACCAAGTAATTCTACTTCCAGGAATTTTACTCCAGCATGTCAAGTGATTTGTGGAACTAGGGTTTTTACTCCAGCCTTTGTTACACAAGCCATGGACCGGGAACAACCTAAATGCTCCCCAGTAGAGGGCTGGCTATGTGCCCCTTGAAAGTCTACACACTGGAACACTACGCAGCTCTAAAGAGGAAGAAAGCTCATATGCACCACCCAGGGTGCCGTCCAGGGGATGCACTGAACAAAAAAGTTGAAACAGAACCATGTATGTTTTATGTTACCATCTATATAACATGAGTAAAGAAGAGCCTTTACCTGTTTCACAGCATGTACATAAAGTATTGCTAGAAAGATGAACCAGACTTTGGTAGTATCAGTTTTCCCTAAGTCACAAGGGACGGGATGGAGACGACGTCTCTGTAAGCCTTTTTGTACTTTCTGAAGAGTGAAATGTGAAACTGCATTGCTTAAATTGATATAAAAACCACAATGGTTACCCTCTGCACTCCCTCCCCCTCAAAAAAAGAAACAGATGATGTAATTTGTTCAGAGTCACTCAGCACTTAAGGGGCGGTCAGGACTTGAAACTTGCTTCTGATCTCGAGTCAGTGTTATCAATTACAGTTCATTCATTCATTCGTCCATTCATTTAATGCAAATTTATTTTTTCAACACTCGTTCCCCAAGAGGGGCTGCCTTGTGCTGAAATACACAGGCCAGAAAATAAACAGTGGCAGAAAAGTATTTACTTTTAAAAAGTATTTTGTTTTACTTTACTATATTTCTTTTTTTTTTTTTTTTTTT